GGGGGGCGAGAGACAAGAGAGTTAACCTTGGAGGAGAGGTCCCGGAGGGAGGCCGAAAGAGTGGCGTCAGAAGAGGGTGTAGGCTGAGGGGCCTGGAGGGCATCAACCTTAGCGGAAAGGGAAGAAACAGACTCAGTGAGATGTCCCACCATAGTAACGAGGACCGACAAGAGGGGAACAACCGCCTCATCAGCGCTGTCGTATTCCTCAAAATCGGGAGAGAAAACAGACGGGAACACTGCTGGGTTCCAGCCTAAGCCGTTGGCGGCTTGGGAAAGGAGAGCCTTAACAGCGTCCTCTTGAGTAAGGGGGGGAGCAGAGGCCCGGCCCGTAGGGTTGGCCCTGTTGCTGGCACGGCTGGAAGAGGTGTGCTGGGGCCCCACAGAGGGAACCCTTGGTGCGGGGCTAGGAGCAGACATCGCGTAACGCGAAATGCGTTGGTGCCGAGAAAAAACCCGGTAGCACGGAGGGAGTAGCTTGGGGTGCAAAGGCTTTGAAGCCTAAGCGAGGTAGGGAGAAGGCTTTGTGTAACGTTCACGGCGGGGAAAATGCAGAGTTTTCACCGTCCCAAATAGGAAGTGTTTTCAATCGGGAGGTGAATAGAGGGCGCGGAGGATGTACTTGTACCTTACTATCATACTTGTACTTGTACCGTCGTACGGCCTAGCGTGTTCTCAGGGCTCGAGAAAGGGTTCTCGTAGAATCCAAAGTCTTGGCTTTCTCCAAGGTTGGGAACTGAGTGCTGTACGGACGTACTGTAATTATTCTGCCGCGCATTTCTATGGATTGCCCTTCCCTAACCTTATGGCAGTTCCCTGTAAGGGACAGGACACAGGCCTCGGGTAATCTTATCCATCGCATCTGCAGCGCCCGTAATTAAATTTTGTCACCAACAATACCGGTACATGCGAAGAACAAGCTGGGCTCTTCCTTTTTTTCCCTTGCTTTTCCCTTCTTCCTTCTCGCCCCCCCCCCTTTCACGCTTTGTCTTTTTAAACCACCGGGATCCCATTTTCTTGTTTTTTCCCCCTTCAAACCACCCCTCTTAGGGTTTCATCTCTTCGGACCGTTCTGAAGCATGGCTAACAACTGGGCCGAGAATCGGCCAAAGGTATCGAAAGGTACCTCATTGCTGGACTCCTTTCATGCTGGGGGGATACAAGGGGCTCTGTTAATTGTTGGGATGATGTTGACTTTGTTTCTTCTTGGGGTTGCTTAGGTCAGAGAAGGAGCCCTGAGCTCCTCTCCGAAGATCAATTGATCCACCTGAAGTCGTACCGTTACCAGAGTGTCGACAAGTCCCTGATCTCACGGTACATTCTAAAACACTACGTATGTTTTCTATGCCGACCATGAACGACCGGCGGGCTCTGCTGATGGTGCGAAGTGGAATTTTATGGTTGAGCTTCTGCCTCGGTGGCTGGCGCCTAATGCTGTTACACTCGTTGGGTTTGGATTTATCTTGACAAATGTGATATGCCTAGAAATTTGGCTGCCAGATCTTGTGGGGCCCGGACCTAGCTGGCTATATTATTCATTCGCTTTCGGTCTCTGGGCGTACGTTGGAAAAAAAAAAAACTTTTAGGAGATGCAGCAGGGTTCAGCGGGCTAATTATTGGGATGCAGATACTCAACCATGGACAATATCGATGGGAAGCAAGCTAGAAGGACCGGCTCCAGTTCGCCTTTAGGGGAACTTTTCGAGTATGGAGCTTGTCGACCTTTGTGTCCTTGCAATTGCCATTGCTAACCCTCAAATGTAGCCATGGAATTGACTCCCTCAATTGCACACTAGGTAAGCGCATATTTGGCGCATAGTTGCTGTGGTTGGGGGCTGGGCTGACGGGTTGTACAGCTAGTTTGTGCGAAACAGCCTGTATGGGGCTCGGTCCTACCAAGGCCGGTGTCTTCACCGCCTTGATTCCCACTTTGCCAATGTTCTTTTCCACCTGGGAGACATATCATTCTCATGTTCTCTATCTTGGGTACTTTAACGGCCCTACTGGTGAGATATATGGCTCCGCTGCATACACAAGACCCGAGCTGATGGTAATGCTAAGAGGGCTTGATCATTGCATGTAGTTTGATGGTCATGTCTGGGTACTATGGCCCTGAGATATGGACTTACAGAATTAGCGACGTTTTCGGTCATGTTTGGCTTTTTGAGGATTACTCTATTAGAGACATTTGGATCCCTGTTATTCTTGGATCATTTCTACTGGCACATCTTCCATTCTGGTATGCTTAAAAACCCTAGCCATTGCGCGCAATTCAGACAGGGTCTAATGTCCATCAGCATCTATAATGTTGTTGCTGCCCGCCGTCGTCAGAAGCTCCCAGTTCTCCCAGTTTTCTTGGAATGGACGCCAATGGTAATTTTTACGCTCTCCTGTGGATTCTGGTTGTACTCTCCTCATACCACTTTGTTGGAAGAGAACAGACTTGTCCTCTTTTGCCTGACCATGAGTTTTGTTTTTGGCCGAATGACTACAAAGATTATTTTGGCGCATTTGACCCATCAGCCCTTCCCCTACTGGACTGTACTTCTTGCGCCACTCATTGGCGGTGCCGTGTTGGCTAATTTGCCATCGTTTGGACTGTACGTTCGTCCCTTTCACATGATTTGGCCATATACAAATATTAATTCACCCCATAGTGCCCCGGTTTCTTCGTTCGTCGAGCTTTGGTACTTACGTGGGTACTTTGCCTTTGCGGCAATCGTATACTTCCGCTGGGCAATGTTGGTCATCAATGCCATCTGCAGCTACCTCGGTATCCAATGCCTTAGCATCCCACACACTCCGGCCACTCGTCCGGGAGCCCCCAACGGAGCAGCGCACCCCCTAAGCCCACGGAAGGAGAGGGCAGCGTAATAATCCAAACCCCCGGATTAATAGATCACTCTTGCATGATTTAGTGCCCTTTTCCTAGATTTCTTTAAGCCTTATGTATTTTTTTGGGTGAGGATGGAGGATAATCATGATGAGGTAACTAAGTTACATTGGGCTAGGGTTTTATAGACGGGACAAAAAGGGGTGATAAGGAGGAGTGAGAAAGAGACGAGTATCATATGTCTTGTAATGTTCTTGTCTTTATTCTAACAAGGGACGGAGGACAATGGAATCGTGGAGGCGGAGAAAGTCGGAGGAAATCAAGAGCTACACAACTAGCGTTAAAAGAGGTAGAAACTGATAGTAATGAAGTCACGGTGCACGGGGTAGGTATACATATATAAATAAAATCGGCGCTGATGTTTGCCCAACCTACTCGATTATGATCAAGGGGAGAAGGGGATAAAGGGGGAAGAAGTTGTGAATCGCGAGATCCTACAAGGAGTTGTAGGAAAAGCACTTGAGGTTAACTAGTCAAATATACCCCTGTCTGCTCTGGTTAATGTGCCCTACCCCTACACAATGTAAAACTAATCTCGGTATACTATTTACTCGTACTAGTGCTGTATTGGACAGTGACTACAAATACATCAATATCGTGACTTCATTCACTGAAATTAACTAACCGAGTGACAACCTATGACCGTGGAATGGGAGAACGAGAACGAAAAAAGAAAAAAAAGACTAGCGGCGAATTCTATTCTACAAGAAAGGAAGGAAGGAAAGGAACGGGGGCAACGCAAATAGTATACAATCGCACGGAGATCGGAGCCTGGACTAGAGACAGGGAGAGGTGGAAGCAGGGTGATCTGGGGTGAAGGCTCGAAAGGAAAGAGGGAGGAGGGGGAGGAAAAAAAATGGAAAGAAAAGAGAATAACGCCAGATATAAATTTCATGCCCGCAAGATTGCCTCCTGCTACCAATAGAGCAGTAAGCCAACCAACCCCACAAAAGAAAAGGATGAAAAAAAAAAAAAAAAAGAAAACACCCAGAATGCAAAATGAGATGAAATGAAGAAGCTGAGAAGTATCTAAGTTGCCCCGCCTGTTCACGATAACCCCAACCCCGACAACAATAACAGTCTCATGACTTTGAGGAAGCAGCATCATCCCCGGCCCTCTTTGGCCTCTCCTTCTCTTCTTCCCCTGGTGAGACCGGTGGGGTCGGACCTTCTACCGCTGCCCCCTCCGCGCTGGGTGCCACAGCTGTGACTTCCTTCTCGACACCGACTTCGACAGCTTCCTTCTTCACCTTCTTCCGCTCCTTGTCTTGCTTATCTATGAAGCTCCTCGCCTTATCCACATTGTTCCGCTGCAGTGCTGCAGCGGCCTCGATGATTTCAGTCTTTGGTTGCTCAGTCGCGGACTTGACCACTACAACTCTAATAGTCGTGACTTGGTGCGAGGGTGACTGCCCCGGAGGCACTACTGGGGGCGCGGTGACCTTCCGCGGCTTGTTGTTTTTGGCGACGTAGCGCACATCTATCTTGTGGAAGATGATGGAATTGAGGTCTTCCGGATGGAAGCTGACTGTTACGTCCATCGCCACGCGGAGTTTGTCACCGGCAACTTGAACGAGACCATCTAGGACCACGTGCCCTTGCGGGGCGGGCGGGCGACGGTAAGTGCGGCGTAAGTGTACAAGGCCGGATTGGATGCCGTGGGAGATTGCACGCTTGCCGAGGTTAATTGGGGAGGAAGTGGGGGAGGTTAGGGTGGAGAAGTGAGTGGCTTGGAGGAAGGTGTAGGTGTGTTGGAGAGAGGTAGTTACTGATGAGAACATCCAGGTTGGGTAGAAGGCTGTTATTAGGCGGTGCATTGTTGCAGTGGGGATGGGCCGGGTGGTCCATTCGTAGGTTAGGTTTGAGATGCGCAAGGGAGGTGGAGTGTCGTCTGGGAGTGGCAGTGGTGGGGATATCTTTAGACTAGGGATAGTTAGCTCGTGAGTTTGAGAAGGGATGTGTGAACCCACCCTTTGCGTTTATATTCTCGAGGTCGGAGCCTGCGATGGTCATTAGAAAAGTTCTGAAAGATACACTTTTGGCAGGGGCAGCTCACGGGTAGTGGTAGTATACAGTCACAATCTCAGGTTCGATGTTACCGCCAAACTTCTTTCCATATCTTTTCCCAAGATAGTCGATGAGTGCGTCGACGACTCTTCCTACGAAGCTATCAGCTCTAACCCCACAATTTCCAAACCCCGGCAGACAAAGCAGAGGGAAAAAAATTCACGTTTCCCTTCCAGCGCCCTCCGTGGGTCTCTCTTGAACTTCATATACATAGCATGCTCCGGATCATCAGGTCCATACTCTCTCTCAGAGACGAACTCCGCAAACCCTAGTGGTATAAAAATTGGATTCTCCCACCCGTTCCCATATATCTGCAACAACCCATTCGCCGCGAGCTGAAATCCGCTAAGCCATATCAATGCTCGAGTAAATGTGTTGAATCGACGCTCTTTAGGGACGAACCGCACGCGGTATATTGCGCCACCATCGTTCGTAAAGCGGTTAGGGTAGCGGGAACATGATAGAAGTGTTCGGAGAGACTTGAACATTGCGCGGAGTGCCGCGGGAATGACTGTTGTTGTTTTCTTCAAAAAAACTACTATCGCAAAGGCTCAAGTGGTGGGCTAGGTGGAGATGGATGGATGATATCTGAGCCGTTGGGAAGACTACAGAAGATGATGGTACTGATATCGTATTACACAGTAGCTTTGCCGCGTGGAAGGTCAGATATTGTGGGTGTAACGAGGGAGCTCTTCAGAGGGGGAACAAAAAATGAATTTGAAGGGTTGGTTAGGTTGAAAGTGGGGAAGGGGTCAAAGAAGGTGTTGCAAGTTTGAAGAACTTTAAAGAAAAGAAGCCGAACCCCCCAGCATGGAAACAGAAGGGGAAGAAAAGAGAAATATCGAGTTCCACCACCGGCTAGCCGGATAGGGTACCTTTCAGCACTGGCTCTAGTTTGATTGGGTAATTCTCATCACAGCATCAACCACCGAGCAACGCAACTCAACCTGGCAGCTTTGAAGACCGCACCACCTTTTCCAAACCCACAATAGCAAATCCGAAGTTCACCAGCTCCCAAAACTCCTTCCTATCCGTAAACGCCATTAAAGGAACTCTCTCTCTCTCCCTCTGCGATCACGAACAGAGCTCTGGCATTTTCCCTTTTCCCTCTGTTTCCCGGCATGAGAGTTCTCTCTGGTCTCGTCGCCTCCTTCGCAGGCGTCGCGGTATCATCGACAGTCAACGAGTTCCACCACCACCATTCCGGTGATGCAGCGTCGGTCTCGCCTGAGGAACTCGCTCTCACTTTATCGGAGCATTTAGGTGTTTCAAGGTATCATAAGTTGGGACCACAAGGGAACCTGCTGCGGCTGGAGCTGGATGGGGGAAAGTCGAGGATGTTTCAAGAACGGATTGAGGAGGACTTCGTGCTCTCAATCGCTGGAGCATATGGTATTGGAGGTGTGCTTTCAAAGTTTCCATTGCACCCGTTATTTTTTTCCTTCTTAGTTTCTGTGGGTTATTACGTAGCTGTCCCTGACAGATTCCTCCCGGTAAACAGCTGCTCAACCCGAAGGCACACGGATCGGTCTCAGGAACATGCCCAAGGCGTCGGCATTCGGCGAGTTAATGGGTGTCTTCGTCCGGGAGAACCGCCAGTTTTTGGAGGCGGCTGTGCCAAGAGTTGTGGATATGTCGCCGTGGGGCGGAATGTGCGTGGGTGTCTCTGAGGTACGGCTCAAGTGTCCCAACAGCCGGACCGCTGCTGATTCTTGAATAGAATGAAATCAGCCTTGACCCTAAGGAGTATACACCCGCCGTTGAGGTTTCTGGGGGCGATTACGGTACACCTTCGGAAGCAGCCGACCTTTTTAGGGAATATGGGATCATCAAAAAGATCATAGAGCGAGATATTAGGTCCTTGCCTGGACAGCATATCGCTTCCTGCCATGTTGCAGGTGTAGAGGTTTGCATATCTCTCCCTCCAGGTGGTTTGCACATTACTCATGTTCAACAGAAATACGTCGAGCGATACGGCCCAGAGTCCAAACAGGCACTTAATGCAGCACAACTCTACCTATCGCTAATTGAGGACATCCCAGCGCATATCAGGTCTACCGTCCTCCTCCTCCCAGTAGCCAAAAGCAACACAGGTGTAGATGCCTTCAAGATAGATCTCCACAAGGTATACAAACGCTCCGAAGAGCCCCTTTCCCTCACCGCCCACTCCCCACCATCCGCTGAGGCGACCTCCACTTCCCCTGGACACCCCAAAATAATCCTCGGCCCTATCCCCCGCTGTTACCCTTCCCAAAACAGCTGCACGGGCGCAACGAATGCCTGCTCCGGTCGCGGCGAGTGCGTGAAGTCGAGTTTCCCGACTGACTGCTGGGCCTGCCTGTGCAAGGGACCGGATGGGAAGAAGACGGATAAGTGGGCCGGGGCCGCGTGTCAGAAGGAGGATATTAGTGTTCCCTTCAACTTGTTTCTTGTGTTTGGCATCGTCATCATCCTAGTGTCCATCTGGGCTGTTGGGTTGCTGTACAGTATTGGCGATGAGCCACTGCCCAGTGTTCTCAGTGCGGGGGTTGCTCCGGCGAAGAGGGGGTAATTTGGATTATTCATTATTATTATTGTTACTAGTACCGCATGTGCTTTTGTTGTCCCCTTTCTTTGGCTTGCTGCATCTTTCTTTTTCTCCTTCCTTTTTTTTTCCCCTTCCTCTTTCATACACCATTCATCCGTCGCTGGATTTCATTTGGTTTTGTTGCTAGTGGGGGTGGGGGTATCGTTTGTGGATTCTACTGGACTGGATTGGGGAAATGTAACTGTAAGACTGCAGGTACCGTATAGCACGCGAAGGCGGATCCTATGTGGGAAGGGTAAGAACGAAGAGAGAGCGAGAGGAAAAGAAGGGCCAGTAAGTTTGAGTGGGAAACATGGTACTCGAGTATATTCTCCAGTGTATAAATATCATAATTGATTTCGCATCCTGGGCACTGAAATAAGTTACTGGTTGGTACACACCGGCAATCGTGAGCCGAACCAGCCAGACCAGAAGCAGGGATACAGTAATCGAAAGTGTGAACCTGCGCACCCCTTTAGAGGATGAGGTGGGATGCTCTATCCACAAACCCTAACCCCACACCTTCTCCCCTAGAAGAAGGCTGAAACGGCATACAGGTACCCTATGCAGGCGGAGCATGACATGATAGATTTGGAATTTTGTGGATAGGGGGGGGGGGACTTTAAGCAGTGCCAAGGGTACGGTAGCATACAGTACTCCCATAGTACGGTATGGTACATTTGGGTGTAAGAGCGAAACAAATAGATAAAAAATGTAAGAAAGTCATGATATGCTTTTGTATTGTATTGCATTGCATTGTACCGTATAGTATAGTATGGTATAATAGCGGCCGAGAAGCGATGGAAGGGGGGGGGTCACATACTTCCTCTCCGAGGCTTTAGGCACCATATGGTGTGTGGTATGATGGCCGGCAGGACCTGATTTTGGTTGGTGATACCGGTATTCAGGATTGTTTAAGGATCGGGTAGCCTTATTCATATCACAGTGTCCATGGTATGATGGAGGCTCTATTTGTAATGGTGAAACGCACTTTGCCCGGTCCGGCATGTTAGTGGAGTGGGGAATACGATGCCCACCCCTCCTTGTTCATTCATCCACTCACTCGTTCATTAGCGCCAGAATCATCACCATCACCATCATCGCTATTAACTACGGTATAACAGTTATCCCTCCAACTTCGCACATCCAATCAATTCACATCTCCCCGCACTGGTTGATAATCACATCCGTTGTTGGCCGGTCCAGGATCACCCTGACATTCTCGACCTTGCGAACAACATCCATGCCCTCAACCACCTTTCCAAAGGCGACGTACTTCCCGTCCAGGAACGGGGCTATTTTCGAGGTTATGAAGAATTGGCATCCGTTCGTGTTAGGGCCGGAGCTGCACTTGATTTAGCCAGTGAGGCAAGGGAGGGAGGGGTGGTGGTGAAGAGTACTTTGCCATAGAAACTATTCCCGGCGCATCGTGTTTTATGGAGAAGCCTTCGTCAGGGAAGCTGTCAGAGTTGTAGATACTTAGGGCGCCGGAGCCGTCGTTGTTTAGGAAGTCGCCGCCCTGGACCCTATTCCCTGGTTGGTCCCACTCTTACTCATTCATTATCATTATTGTAAGTGGTGGGTGGACTCACATGAAGTCTTTGATCTGGACACACATACCCAGTGATAATCAGCACAGCTGTGCGAAGAACGAGTGAAACGGAAAGAAAAAACAAACAAAAAAACAGGGCAATCATAGCTCACCACGCGATGGAATTTGCACCCTTTATACCCCAACGGCCGACCCCCACGGCCTTTCGTCTCGCCGGTACAAAAGACACGGAAGTTCTCGGCGGTTTTGGGCACTATTTTTGAGAACAGTTGGATTTTGATGCGGCCGAGGGGTTCGCCTTTATGCATTCCATCATTACCATCGTTGGCCATCGTACTTGCTCGCGAAAGTGGGTAGGGGCGGGGGGGGGGGCATACCGCCTAGAGCCACGTCCAAGAAAACTACCGGCTCCGGTTGGTCCGTCATTGTGAATTAAGCGAGTAGAGAGGAGTAGAGAGTAGAGTGGAACGTTAGTCTAAGGGTTATCGTGGTTGTGAATGATGGTCCCGTAGGTGAGTTGCGGCTTAAAATTACCGGGGCAAGCGCTGTCGCGGGCTTTCAAAAAAAAAAGGTCTTGGCACCCAATCTTGCACATGCATCAGCGCCACGTGATTGTTATTAATAGCCTCCATATTGTGAGAGGATGGCATGGCGGTGGACCATGTGGAAAAGTGGGATTTCCCTACGCCGAGACTCTTTTCTCCGCCCAACCCAAAGGTTCTATCACAGTTCCGGTACGGTATTCGGGCTGTGTTATCCTTGCGATGGCACCCAAGTGCTCGTGCAGGGCGCGCTGGCTACTGGTTGATACCGTACCGCCCGTAACTCATGGCACAAGGGAAGTTCGAGCGGCGGCTGAAATTCCAGGGTACAGTCGATTTGGCAGCTGATCAGGGCTGTGACTGTATTATATCGTGTCCAGTATGTTGTGCTTGTATCTCGTTACATTTTAGGTTATAGTCAAGACATGCGCGTACGGTACTGCACTGCGCTGGTACAGCACAATATATGATGATGATGACGCCGCGGGATTTGAGGCGGGTATGGTTCGGGTACAATACAGTGACTGAACGGGAGAGGGGGGGGGGTCGCCAGGCCTCCGAGGGCGATACCGTACCTAGAAACCCAATGCATCATACCCGAGCGCGGCAGGGACGTCGTCAATATGATGCGGGGCTTTCTCCTTCCCTATCTCTTCACTTGTATCCCGTCTCGCGCTATTCATCGGCGGTGGTCGCGATAAGCACGAGTGCTGATATCGGTACCATCACTAGCGTACTAGTGCGGAGTCGCCTGGTGCTGTGCTCGTACTCGAGTACTCGAGTAACGTAACATCGAGAGCATTTTCAAAAAGAACCGTTGTTGCATGCCATCCTGATCCAATCAAAGGGGCGGAATCCTCGTGGTAATTATTCAAGAGCGGTCCCCTTTCAAAGAAGCTTCGGGATTGGTAGCACCCGTGCCAGAATGAGCACAGTGCTACCGTAGCGTACAGTACTCGTAGAGCATGGTACCGGTACGTGGAGCGCACTTTCCAGCTGTTTTGTAAACGGTGAACACGCGAAACACTTTGCATCCCACACTTTTTTGTTTTTTCTCTCTTCTTCCAATTATCACATCCATAGGTACCGGTATCGTATTCTGGTGGATAACTCCGCTTTTTTCTTCTTAGTACGAGTAAAGTACGGTATTTCTTTTTCTTCTCTTTTTCTTTTTCCCTGTTATGATGACACCGGTACCGGTATTATCATCCAACAAGCTTTTGTCGATCTTTGACGCTTTCGCCGGGAGTTCCCAGCCAACGATTTGGTTCCATCTCTCTCCTCTTTCCCTCTCTTTCCCTCTCTCTCCCTCCTTCTCCTCTGCCTTTTCCTCTTTCCGGTCCTAGTTCAGTGGGTGTTCGTGGCGGCTTAGTGTGCTGGTTGGTGGATGCTGTCTTGCTCATGTCATGTTTGGAATGCTGTTCGGTGCGGTGCGGCTGGCTGATCGGCTGTGGCTCGTCGCACGGGGCGGGGGGTGAGGTGTGGGAAATGGCTGATGAGTGATCAGGGATTCAATAATGGGAGCTGCATTTTTATTCCATCGTTGAAGTGCTGAGTGGAAGCTCAGAGTGCCAAGTACTAGTACGGTAATGTAAGACCTCATACGGTAGTCCATGCTTGAATTCTGCGATACTTGTACCGGTATTATCCCCCCACCCATGGTCCGGGCAGAAGCAGGGCGGGCAAGCAAGCAAGTAAGCAGGGGAAAGGTCGAGAGAGTGAGGTCCATAAGATCAGTGTCCACCATGTCCCTGTCACTCGCTTTCCGATGTTTTCTTTTTTTGTGTGAGGGAGAGGGACCCGCAGCTGACCCCACCGATGTTTTGTCTGCAGCCGTCTCATTGGGCAATCCGGATTCCTGGTTGGGGTGGCCGCTGTCACACCCCGTTACTCGAGCAGCCTATTTTAGAAGGTTGGTTGGCTTAATTGTTGGCTGGGAGGGTCTGGGGGGAGAATGGCCTCACTTTGGTCAGAATGCATTTTACTCTGTCGCTGTTATCTGCCCTTCCCCATTTTACAGTGCTGAGTGTGATCTCTCGCCCTTCGGTACCGGTATGTTAGCCGGTCAGTTGTCATTTATTTTTATTTATCTGGTTATTTGTTATCCTTTTCTTTTTTGTAAAGGTCAAGTTATCGGTGATATGGTGAGTAACCGTGGCATTCTATCCGGCTTGCGCTTAAGAGCTTCTGGTGGGTAGGTACGGGCAATTGTGAGGGTTTGGCCAGTGAAGCATTCCTTCTCTCCTGTACCGGGTACTCGAGTACCGTAATAGAGCATCGTACCTGTCGTACCCCTATGGAAGGTCGAGAGTAAAACATGTAAGGAAGTGGGAAGGCGCCTTCACGACAGGATTACTTTTATTTTTATGCTACGGAGAGGCCTGTACCTATAGTTGATTCATGGAGGGTAACATATACCTATGGCTCCCGTGCTGAAGCGTTTATTGTTGTGTGTCGGAGTCTTGTCTCTTTCTTTGCCTGCTCCGCCGCCAGAGGGAACCAAGCCATTTGTGTGGAGGACCGAACCGACTCTCTCTCTCTCTCTCTCTCTTTTCTTATCTGTTTCTTCACTTTTTGCCTCTTACCGCTCGAGCCGATCGCATTTACTCTTGGTCTTTTCCTGTCCTTGTCCATTGATACCTTCCCCTCCCCTATCCCTCCCTTCCCCTTCCCTTCCCTTCCCTTCCCTTTTATCCATTCCGCTCTTCTTCGATTCTCACCCTGCCTGGGCATTGCTTGCGTCTTGGGAGCTGTGAGGTTGCTTGTGTGTGTTGTTTGAAGGTGTTTGCGTTTTCCAGAGGGAGGGACTGGTCGTGAAAGGGGAAAAAGAGCGAGAACGAGCAAAAGTGGAAGATAGTATTCAGGCGGTGATACTCCCGTGATCGGGATTTGGAGTCCCGTAAACGAACAAAGTGGAGAGGATCTAGAGGGAAAGGTTCATTGAATTCCTTTCCTTTCTCTTCCCTGTTTGGCTGTCTGAATTGTGGGCGTGGTCGTCGTTTTCCTGTTAACACGAGGGTTAAGTTTTCCTCATTCGCACCTTCACCACCTCCCACCAACTTTCCCTTGTTCTCACTTCGCGTTCCTTCTCATCTCTCACTCCACCTCCCCACCTCGACGCACCGCCTCCTCCTCCTCCTCCACCACCCGACCGATCCGATAGTCTCCCGAGTGGTCTCAAGGATCGCCAACACTAGGGTGAAATAATTATCGAATTACCCATCGTCACCTGTCAATCATCAACTACCCCCATCCCTCCCTCCCTACCCGCCCATCTCCCCTTCCTCCATATTAATCCCATCCGTCCTTTCTATTCCCTTATACAAATTTTCCTTCTTCTCATTTGTTTGAGGGCTGTCTCCCATTTCCTCTCCTGTTGCTTGCCATCTCAAGGTCGACGCCGCATGGGAATATAGCATTTTGCCCGAACCTCTCCTAAACCTGGCCATTTCACAGCGTCGCTTGTAGCGAATATTTGTCACGCTCGCACAACTCGACCGTCATGTCCTCGTCGCTAGCTGCCATACCAACGCCTGCTCCCACACCAACCGGGAATGGCGGTGGCAATAACGGTCCTACAAGTTCTCCATTATTATTCTTCGTTGCGTTGGGTTTCGGTGTTGTTTTCACGAATTTATGGTATGCATTCCCGTTCGTCGTGAACATTTTTATCATACAGGCGAATTCCCTCCGCCTACAATGTGTAGCGTGTTGTCGTGACTGACCAGCGAATTGTATTCACCCTTAGGATTATTGTTGGTGTCAAATACTGTTTCCGTTACAATGCCCGACAGCGACGTCGGGCGAACGGTGAGGAGGAACCTGTCGATCTTCAGACCATGCCACGTCCTCATCGTCGGCGAAGGGAGAAGAAACTTATGACGATGGACGAGGTCAACGAAAGGTTCCCGACTACAAAGTACAAATCATGGAGGGCGCACAGGGAACGTATGGGATTGCCAACCGAAGGGGGGATTAAAACTGCTCCTAATAGCAGACCTGCGAGTTTGATGGATGTCGAAGCTGCGACCTCTGCCGGTGCCAATAATGGGACCCCGGATGCACTCACCAAGGAACTCACTCCCCCTCCTGCCGCTGATAAGGAAACATTGCTCACTCCTGCCCCAACCCTTTTCACTGATAAATCGGAAGCACCCGGGATTGCACAAAAACATCTGTCTGACATCTCAGAACCGGTTAGGAGAAAGTGTGAGGATGATGATGATGAAGAGGATGAGCATGATCATGTTCAAACTGCTGTCCCTGATGAGCTTCTTAATTCTGTTGGGGATTCTTGTGCGATTTGCCTGGACACTATTGAGGATGACGATGATATCCGCGGTTTAACATGTGGACACGCTTTTCATGCAGGATGCCTCGATCCATGGCTTACTAGTAGGAAGGCTTGCTGTCCGCTGTGTAAGGCCGACTATTATGTACCTAAACCGAGGCCTGAGGGGGAAAACGCTGTGGATGATCAATCTAGATCTCATCGACATCGACGCAGTGCGAATGGTTCCCCAACTCCACCTACTAATGCTTACCTTGGACCACGACGTATGTTCTTCTCGCCGGCCCGTATAATACCACCTTATTATACTGGCGGTGCTTCGGATCGTCCTAGGGATGTTTCATCAGTGGCTGCCCAGCGTGGGTCAGAGGATGGGCGGCCTGCCGGGGGTAGTCGTTGGATGCGGAATCCACTGCGGGGTGTTTCCTTGCCGTTTAGGGGGAGAAACAATACCGCCGCTCCACCAACACCATCTAACCTGGAGGCTGGTCTTCCCAATAATACATCCTCCGCCGCAACTCCATCGACCGGCGTACCCACACCAAATCCAATACATGGAGTAGGAGCCCGTTAAGGAGGATGGTGTCTTTTGTTTTTGTTTTGTTTTTTTTCCTCACGGGCAATTTTATTCTTAGCAACCCGGGCGTTTGGCTTTTTAAATGACAAGCACGTTTTCACACAGTCGCATGTTTCACGACTCCCTTCGACCTCACCAAATAACCTCACCAACACCTAGCCAACAACAACCACGATAGCTCTTCTCAATGTCTTGTCGGATAGCTGAATCATCACCCAGCTGCTTGGGCTTGAACCCGTCCCGCTCAGTTTTTTTCTCTTGCCGGCGTTCTCTTTTCACCTTTCCTCTTAGTTTGTGTATAGGAGCTTGGGGTTTTCCTCCTTTTTTTTCTGCCCCCCCGTCGACAAACAAACAAGCACCTTGTTTCACGCTTGTTGGTCTGTATAAAGATTGAAATGCAGTGGATATTTTCTGTGAGGACTTTGCCGTCCTCATGCTGGATAACCCATTTTATCTGTCGTCATTGTAGCTTACACTATCCGCGATAACGTCGGAATGGATTACTGGATGGATGGGCGGACGAGCAGATGGAATTTATTTTTTCTTCTGTCCAGTACTGCGGGAAACGGATAGATAGGAGGCTGAAGGGGGGCCATCTTTTTCTTGTTTCTTTTCTTCGTGCTTATTATTTGGTGAGGCGTGGAGGGGGGGGCGGAATCTAGCATCTGTTAGTAGGGGGGAAGGGGGAAGGGCTTTATTAGTCTTTAACTACCTTTCCTTTCCTTTACTTATTTATTCATCATGGGTGGAGTACTGTAGTTGATGCATTCTTCCCTCTTGTATGTCTCATCATCTACTGTTTTCATACTCTTTTCCTTTTCTCATTACAGCAATGGGAGTACGATGGGGCTATGATGTTGTGTCTATTCCAACCGGGCTGCTGGGTAATTACTGCCTTGGGGGTCTTGTATAACATCCTTTTCCTCTTTCTTTTTCTTTTTCTTCCCTTCTCTCCTTTCTGGATTACGCTTAATCCCTTGTCCCGTGCAGAGATGGAGAGATGGGGTAAGGTATGGTACAACGCTGCAGTAAAAAAGTGAGATTCGGATAAGTGCAGTGCGACTGGCATAGACTATAACGAAGAGTCTGGTGCTTTGCAGTGTAATAGTTGACCGGTAGTGTACAGTCGCACCCCGTTGTCCCGGATGGCCAAAGTCCTAAGAATCCGTCCAGGACAGCGAGTTATCCGGGACAACAGGTTCGGTTGTGGTGTAAAGAAATATAATTCATAGAAATTCATCCGGGACATTGAAGAATCCGGGAGAGCGAGGTCCGGGACAGTGGGGTGCGACTGTAGTTGTCTCTTGTGGCTATTTCCCTTTCTTCCGCCGTATGGGTTCGGTGTTTCTGTTTGCAGGACTAGTTTATCCATTGACTGCGGGCTAATATCTGATATAAGACCTGCCCGTACGAGTACCACTAGCATAAACAAACATCCATCCGAAGTGTCCCCCTCCACTACCTCTGGGAGGGACTTGGTATCCCGGCACTTGTGCTCATTATTGCCCAGTAGGATTCATAAAGTTCGATTTGAAGATCGACGGTGTAATCTAGGTGATCTTTTCGAGCCTCCATTCGACTACTGGTATGATACTTGTACTTGTAGAGGACGGGCTTGGCGACAAAATTCACTGACCCCCCCATTTTACTCCCAAAATGAGTATTTTCGCTTTGCAAAACCACAGCTTTATCGGTCCACAAAAAATGGGAAAATATGCTAGTATCTTTAGAACCATCTAGATATTATTGCTCATAAGTATCAAGTTGTATTAATAAATATCTATGGCACAATTCCATAAAGCATAAGAGTAGTCAAAAGGTAGTTCCAATTTTGTATGAGTTTCCCATACAAAAGGTACATTACAATCATGTTCAGCCTGGACCGTGCCCCTAAGCTCCCAGCCATTATTGTGCTGTGGGAAAATTCGGATAATTTTTTGCCACAAAGTCCAGGTAATTCTCCACATTATCATATTAATCCCAGTAGTTCTTGATTGTTTCTGGATGAGTTGCAACTGCGTGAAATCAGCCACTTTTGGTGTAAAATGGGGGGGGGTCGCCGAATTTTGTTGCCAAGATTGTACTAGTACTTGTATGGTGCCGGCACCTTAGAATCAACCCTCATGACAACCGAACTTTCCCAACTTTTCGGCGGGCAGCAACAACGTCACATATCATTATTTTGCTTATTCCTTCTGTATAATCCTCCTAAAACATATGAAGAACACATTTACAGAGCAGATTTCATCCAAGGGGTGTGGTTCTCTCTATAATAGCTGTCAAAGTTGAGGCAAAATTTGGGTGGAACAAGGAGGTTGGGACTTGTGTGTGAAAAGTAGGTTTTTGCTGAGTAATACACCAACACATTGCCTAAAGCAGTATGGTCAGATACTACATTAGGACTAGTGCCCGGACCCGGATGGCACTGAGGGTCGATTCTAAGGTGCCGGCACCATACTCCAGGCGCTTGCACCATATGAGCCTGTATAAGTTAAAACCTGATTATTGGGCCTCAACTACAAAACATTTATTTTTGCTTATCTACTTAGCTAGTTATGTAAAGTAGGTATATAGTAGCTCAGAAAATATTTTAGAACTTCAGATGACCTCTGTAGCATGTTTTCTGTCCAAAAAACTGACAAATTCATAAACATACAACACATTTTCCTGCACTTTTCAAAAAAGCCCCATAATCAGGTTTTAACTTATACAGCCTCATATTATGAAAATTTGGCTGACAGCCGGGTAACTGTAGCTCCAGAACCCCATATGTACTAGGGGGTGAGCAAAAGTACGGTGAACTTATTGTCATAGGCTGGAATTTATATGAGAATTCATGCTGACTGCATGTGTGATTGGGTGTTTCCTGTTGCCAAGTGGCTAAATTTGGAGGTGGAAAAAAGTACGGTGAACTTTGTTTCATGGTGGTTTTAGCTAGAACTTATATGAGAACAAATATACAAGAAGCTATCTAATATGGAGTAGCACTTCCACCTGCTTCTATAACTGCAGCCAGCCTTGCTGGCATACTGTCAACTAGTGTAAGAAGTCTTTCTGCAATTATAGTCCTCCATGCTGTCTGCAACATTAGAATTAAGTCATTTGTATTTTGTGCCCATTCATGAATTTGCTTAAGTTTTGTTTCCATATCTACCCAAAGAGCTTCAATCAAATTCAGGTCAGGAGATTGTGGAGGCCATGGTATGCTATCAACTTCATTGTACTACTGACAATAAATAGTATATTTCTGATGCCCTGGTACATTATCTTCTACTACCTTTGTCCGCCCCATACATGGCATAAGTCTCATGCTAAAAAGAAATCAAGAGAGGATCTAGAAAATGCCTTGTATATTTTTCTGAATCCAAGGTTTTTCCAGAAGGAATAATATATAGTAGAGACTTCATTTCTCTACAAAAAGCTTTCCAGACCATAACTGATACATGGTCAGATTCTCAAGTTTCATTAATACAGTCCTGGTAGTACTCTTCTTCTGACTCGGACTGGCAAAGTACCCAGGACTAGTGGCTATATTCAGCAATACTGAAGCTGGATTCATCACTTCAGATAGTTCTCAGCCACTCCTCCCTGCCTCAATTCAAGCACTGTTGATACCAGGCTACTCTTTTAGTCTTCTTGTAAGCTCAGATCTTCTATCTATGTTTAAGATTAGAATTAAAGTCAAAAGAATTTTCAATTTCTCTAGTAAACAACTTACTTCTTTCTAGGCACGTACTTCAAGTTGCAATACTCCGTAGAGGCCATCATATTTCTAATTGTTCTAATGGAACAATTACATCCTATCTCCTTAATTATTTCTTCCCATTGAAGCCTCTGAGTTCTTTTATCTGTTGTTAAAAATCCTACCGGGTAGGACCTAGCGACAGGTAACGATACTTCTCTGTAAGGTGATAGCTTTCAGGCCTATGCCTACGCGAACCCGATAGTCTAGTCCTTTGACTACTATCGTACTCGCGCCTATCTCCTTATTCTTCTCCTTAGTCCACGCTTAGGATTTTAATCTTTTCTCGTGAGAGGAAAGACACTTCTCAGGTTTCTTAAGATAAATCTTTAAAGATCGTAAAGGTAGGTTTTATTGATAATAACTTAAAGGTAGGAAATAAACAAGAAGAACGTGTGAAGAGCTAATACTCGGTGTCCTAGTGACCCCTTTATATAGTAGCTCTTCACCTGGCGTGACTCATACCTCGCGTCATGCGAACCCTGTGACTCATAACCATGAGTCATATGAAATCCATCAGACGACTCCTATGAGTCGCTGCGCAACATGCCTAAACCACTTCAAAACATAATAACTAAATCAGGTGCGCAACTTGTGTCACCTGAGTGAAACCCATGACTCACAAGTATGAGTCGTGTGCAAAATCATAACATCGTATGACTCACAACTGTGAGTCACGAACAGGTAAACATAATAACCTATGGCACACTAGTGTGCGTCATGTGAAATCCCAACATACCTATAACTCGGAAATCTGAGCTATATGAAATCTACCTTGCTTAGTCATAGTTTGTGACATTAGCTCCCCTCTTCCTCAGCCCGAGTCCCATCAGGCTTCAGTCTTCTATCCCCCATCTTCTTCCTTCGGGTAGCGGATAGTACCTATTCGCTCCCGTGTTTACCTTGACCACCCTGGCCAGAGTTCTCCTTGCTTCCTTTTCTTCTCTCCTCCAGTTGTTCTGGAGAACCTTTCTCATATTTCTCTCTCCTTGCAACTCCTTCGTCAAATTTTCGTTGCTCCACCTCATCCTCTCCAGCTCCTTCTTTAGTTCCTCTATCTTTTCCGCCTGATACTCCAGCAACCTGTTGGTTTCGGTTTTCTCAGCTAACCACTTCATTTTGTCCTCCTTCGAGGTCTCGTGTTCTGTCTCTTCTTCCATCTCTTCTTGCCAGGAAACCTGCTTCGGTTTCCTGGGCTTTGCCCATTGTTTTTATTTTTTCACCCCCCTCCTCCTCGATTCCGTCCTCGGAGTTGGTTCGATGTATTGGACCAGAGCCACTGGCTCTGGTGTGGGGGATCTCGTCGGTGTCGGGGATCTCGTTGGTGATCCCAGAGGTGAAGTCCTGGGTGGCCTTCGGTTCTCCTTCCGAGGCCAGTATCCTGCTCCTTCTTTCTCGCTTTTGTGCACTTGGCACTCGTCGTCGTAGCAACCTGTCCATGACAGGTTCATGTGCTCCCTTTGGGTAGTGGGAGTCTTGGGTATTGGTAGGTCTTTCAGACTTATCCAGTCCTCGGGGTTGTATTCCATCTCGTCTTTCGTCAGTTCGGGGCTCAGGGTGCGGTATCTCGGGCTGGTTGGGGTGATGTGTTTGAACGCGTCACGTTCCGGACTGGTCTGGAGTGACGCCCGCAATGGTATCGTTTCCATTTTTATCTGAGGCTGATGCCAATCAAAGGTGTTTGTTCTGCATAGTGGCGGGGCCACACATTCGGATTCGGGTGCGTCTTCTACCGTTGCTTGACGGCTTGCCGGGGTATCATTGATAGAATTGGTTGACTGCATTTTGCGCTTGATCGAAGTTCTCGGCTGAGTACCAAGTCTTATCGTGTTCTGAAGAGTATCCAGTCCACTTCGCTCGGTACTGTAAGCGACCGTAGTATAATCGAGACTCGATTATTTCTTCGAGTTCGTATTCCGATTCACCGTCTATTTCGATAGGCGGTGGTGGGGGTTTCTCTTGGTATGGTAAAGGATTGTTTTGATAGAGTTCGAGGAGGCTGATGTGGAAGGTGTTGTGTATTTTCATTGACAGCGGAAGGTCGAGCTTATAAGCTCGGCTTCCTATCTTTGCCAATATCTTGAAGGGTCCTATTTTCTTGTAATCCAGTTTTTTCGTTGGTCGCGTGGTTCGGATGTTGCGTGGTAGTAACCAAACCATATCTCCTGATTTTAGGTTTGGATCGGGTTTTCTGTGGCGATCGTAGTTTTCCTTCTGTCGTAATTGTGCCACAACCATTTCGTTTCGTAATGTGTTGTGTAGTTGACTCATATCCTTTTTTTCCGTTATCTTTCCTTGGAGCATATGACCTATGGTTTCATATTCCGGATGTGTGCCATAATTTGTGAAGAAAAAAGTCGTCTTGATTGTTTCTTGCTTTCCGTTGTTGTAGGTGAACTTGGCTAGTGGTAGTCATTCGTATCAATCATCTTGTTGATAGTTGACGTATGCACGGAGATATTTTTCCAATATGCCATTGATTCGTTCCGTTTGCCCATCCGTCTGGGGGTGGAAGGCTGTGCTCATTCGTCGTTCGATTCCTAAATTTTCCGTTGTTTCCTTCCACATCTCTGAAGTAAATAGTGATCCTCTGTCGCTAATAATGTCTTTGGGTAATCCGTGTAGGCGGTATATTTCTTTTCGGAATATGGTTGCAAACTGCCGTGCCGTCATATCCAT